TCTCAATGCTGCATTCACATCTTCAATGTGTTATCAACGCACGCTAACTCCCGATCTTAATCAATGAAATATTCACATTGAGTACTTTGTTCTGTACAGAGTTGAATGTGCTTCACAAAAGTTTGATTTACTTGGACTTAGCGTGCGTTGTTTAAGTGTTCCCTTTATTTTTTTGAGCAGTAGTGTTCCCTTTATTTTTTGAGCAGTGTATATATATATTGTTGAGCTAATTAACAAGAATACTGATATTGTTACCTATATTAAATCTCTTGCTAGTTAATGCTATGGGATAAACCTAAATCCTCTTTAGTTTCTGTGCAGAACTTGGAATCATTTGCTTTCTACATATTTAAAATAAATTTTTACTGCACAGGAGGAGACGTGATGATGAGTCTTTTCAGGAAGGACAGAGTATAACTTACTGCAGGGGGAAACCAGGCAGATATCAGGGCAGGGTTCACAAAGATATTTCAGAAATACTCACTAAAATTCACACCAAAATATTTTTATTTTGTAATCATTTCTACTTTGGTCCAAAAGAAAAATTAAAATGATAATATTATTTTGAAATATGGTTAATTGAAAATGACAGATTCTTTTAGTTCAAAAGCAAAAAACTGACATGAATATTTAAAGATGTAATTTATTTATTCATTTATTTATTTTAAAATTTTTGACTTACATTATTTGTGTTCTTATAGGCAGCAGGAATAGGTCATGCCATTTTTCTTTAGCTTTAATAATTTTTATTCATTGTTCTCACATTTGACTAAAATAGAATGTTTAGAGCTGTGTCTTTATTCATGCCATTAAATTAAATAATGTGGCTTATTGCCCTGCTACCATGTCACTTCCATTTTGCTGGCCAAGTAATAATTTGTTTACAGGAAATGTGTTTTACTGAACATTTCATGTACAGTGTTGTCATTTGGCACTTAATGATCTGGCTACTTATCCTGTAGACGTTGGAGGGCAATTGTTTCAACTCAAACAGAGTCTGGCAGCTAAAACGTTAGATTTTGTTGGTAAATACAGTAATTTAAAGAACTAAAGTCCATCCCCTGGTGCTGTACTGTGGTTGTTATGTGTTTTATCCACAGAGAGGTGGGACTGAATGTGAGAAGATGATAAATAACTCAATAGACTTCTGAAAAATTTGTTCCCTCAGATCGTGATTACGTCCTTGGACCCCTGAGATTCCCACCCATGACTCCAATCATTAAGATAAGACATCTCATATCAGATTACACTCAATATCATTTACAAGGTTTGACCAAAACATCTCTGCAACTCTGTTGTTTGTCAGCATGAAATAATTTCAGTCTAAAAGGTTGGCCTGAAAAGCAGCGAGCAGAACGTCTTCCTTTAATGAAGACGTGACCTTTGAATGGGGTGTCGACACAAACACACAGCTGCTAATTATAACCAGTTTGTCTTGTGTTGTTTGTTTGACTTATGAGGGAGATGGAACTGTTGCATGAAGCAAAGGCAGATGGAGCAGGAGACTCATGCTGTCTGCATCATCTCTGGCAGCTCGAGACGAAAAACAAATGAATCCAAAAAGAAGTGACAACAAACCCTGAAGAGTTTCCTGCTGGCTGCATGTGGACACCACACAGCCAGCAGGAAGAAAACAGGCAGAGCTGCTCTGTAAACAAACAATCAATCAATACATATGTTTATAAAAACAGATAATGTTGAAAGACGGAAAATAGGGGAGAACAGCTTTTTGTTTCAAGACTCACATTGTATTAATTAAAGGAGAAGTTCAGACTGATGAAGCAGGGTTGAATGTAGTTGTTTTACCTGCAGCAAACAGCAGTAAAAGCCATTTCAGTTTGAAAAATCCAAAATTAGTTTCTATGAATAAATCACAACCACGTTTTAAAGGAGGGCCCACTTTGGAGTGTATTTGTACCATCTAAAAAAGCAAGGACAAAAGGATGAGCAGGATAAAAATATTTACAGAGACATACCATCATCCCCACCATGAGAGTGCAAAATGATAATTGTGACAAAGCTAGAAACAATGGGCCTCATGCAAGAACATGTTCGTATTCTTCACCTAAATTTCTCTTACTTTTGTTCGTACAAAGGGTTCGTACGAACATGTCATGTCAGATTCAACAAACTCTTCTATCTTCAGGAAAAGTGCGTAAATGAGCTGCGTAATTTACACCTTTTCTATCCAGCTGCTCGTGCACGCGAGAGGAGATTAGCATAATTACCACCCCTAAAACACCATATAAGGCTGTGTTTCCTGCCTCAGATACAAGGAAGTGTCCATTCATGAAAATGACAGCGAAAAGTAAAAAAATAAAAACTTTACGAGTTCAGAGATTGAAGTCCGTCTGTCAGAGATCCAGAAAATAAAATCTGTCATTTTTAGCAGGT